CCTCATAGTAAAAAATTTCTTCCTGAGATCTAATCTGAATCTTTTTTCTTCCAGTTTAAAACCGTTTCCCCTTGTCCTATCATTACCCTTCCTGGCAAAGAGTCCCTCCCCAGCTCTTCTATAGCCACCCTTCAGGTATTGAAAGGCCGCTATAAGGTCTCCCTGGAGCCTTCTCTTCTCCAGGCTGAACAATCCCAGCTCCCTCAGCCTGTCTTCATAGGAGAGGTGCTCCATTCCAGTTGTGGCCTCCCCAGTGCAGAGCAGAGGGGGAGAATGACCTCCCTCCACCTCCTGGCCACACTCTTGATACCTTGCTCCCTTCAGGTCACAGCTCCCTGCCAGACTCCTGTCTGGGGCTCTGCGTTATCTCACCTCTCCTCCCGTGCCCGGCTGGCGGTGGGATGAAGGGCGGATGTAAATCCCAGTACGTGCTGGTTTGTCTGTCGCAAATCCATCGGCCTTTCTGCTTTTTATGGGACACCATCTATAAGGAAATACTTGGTGACCTTTGATCCAAGCAACAAGCGTCGCTGGAAACTACCTGAAACTCCACCTGTGGGTGACAAACCAGGGCAGTGGGTGACACTGAGCGGAAATGAAACGGGTAAGTGTGGAGGGAAAACTGCCCCATCAGAAATGCGGGATATTATTCCGTGTCCACGGGCCTGGTACATTCTGCTGCATCCATAGAGAGGTTGGTGCTGGTCTCTTCTCACAGGTAATTAGTGACAGAACGAGAGGGAACGGCTTCAAGCTCCAACAGGGCAGGTTTAGATTGAACATTAGGAAAGAATTTTTCACCGAAAGAGTGGTCGGGCATTGGAACAGGCTGCCCAGGGAGGGGGTGGAGTCCCCATCCCTGGCTGTGTTTAAGGGCCATTTAGATGCAGTGCTGAGGGACATGGTGTAGGGGAGGACTTTGTAGAGTAGGGGAGATGGTTGGACTCGATGATCCCAAGGGTCTCTTCCAACCTAGACGATTCTATGATTCTATGATCCAGGTTTGGAGCCGTTCCCTGCTGAGGGCCTGCTCCACATCCCAGCTGTGACAGGGGTGGATAAGCCACCTCGGGGAAGCATTTGGGAGCTGCTGGGTTGAGGAGAGGTGGGGGCTCCGTTCCCGGCTGCCTCAGGGAAGGACGGAGCGGTCCCGGGAGCAGCAGCGCCCGTCGCTGTGACACCCCCTGCCCTGATCCACAGCAGCTTGTACAACACTCAGCAGATGCTCTGCAGCACCTTCTCCTTGGCGGGGTCACCAGGCTGCAGGGCTGAGGGTTTCAATTAACATGTTCCACTGCCTTATTTCTAACATGATTCCATCAGCAGATCCCTCCACAGAGGCGGTGCTTCACTGTATCGGGGCTTGTGCAGGTGAAGGGAACCCGGGTGGCCTTGGTGTTCCCCTCCCTGCCCGCGGGCTCTCCATGGCCACTTAGAGCAGCTCGTGTGGTGCGTTGTTTTTTTTTTTATAAAAAAGAGACATATTTATTTAAAACAAAACACTCGGCCAAGGGGCAATCGTGGGCGTGTTAACCAGATAAACTGAAAAAAAAACCAAACAACAACAAAACAAAACAGGAAAAGGGAGTGGGGGAGGCCCGTCCCCGGACCCCCAGCCGGCGGGGGGGCTGGCGGATCCCCCGGCGCCGTGTTCTCGCCCCGGTGGGGCTGTCGCCGCCGCCACCGCCGCCTCTAGAACTCGAAGGTGCCGAAGTGAGCGGCGCGGCCGCCGGCCTTGGGCTGCGGCTTGTACCCGATGCGGTCATTGATCATCTGCTCCCGGCTCTTGTGGTCAGCGCCCAGCGCCATGGCCGCCGCCGCCGCCTCCTCGCCGGCCGCCGCCACCTCCGCCTCCTCCCGCTGCTTCTTGCGGCTCTGCGGGGCAAAGGGGCCGCGTCAGGCCGCCGCCGCCGCCGGACGGGGGATCACCGACCCTCCGGGGGCGGCCGCGGCCGGTCCCGCTCGCACCTCCAGGTCCTTCCGGATGCTCTCGAACTCCTCGATGTCGTCCAGCTTCAGCTCCAGCCGCGTCGGCTTCCGCCGCAGCATCGCCGCCGCCCCGCCTCAGCCGCCGCCGCCGCTCGGGGCCGAGCGCCACTAGGCCGCACCTCCCAGCATACCCCTCTCCCCGCGCCACACCTCCCGGCGTGCCCCGCGCGTCCTGCCGCTGGGGGGCACTGCATCTCCCGGCGTGCCCCACGCCCCCCGCTCTGACACACCTCCCGGCGTGCCCCGCGCGTCTTGCCGCTAGCGGGCACTGCATCTCCCGGCGTGCCTCGCGCCCGTCCGCTCTGACACATCTCCCGGCGTGCCTTGCGCGCCCTGCCGCTAGCGGGCACTGCATCTCCCGGCGTGCCCCGCGGCTCCCCTCACTCAGCGGCACCTCCCGGCGTGCCTCGCGTGCCCCGGAAGTGGTCGTGAGGCGGCGGGGCTCGTTAACGGCGCGGTTGGTCCCGTTCCCCCCCTGCCTGCTCTGCTGCCATGGCCTCCGTCCGGGCACCGGCGGCGCGCGGTGGCGCCCGCCCCGCCGTGCGGGCCCCCGCACCTGCGGAGGGTTGGGGGGGGGGCGACTCCGGGCCCGTTACCTGCGCGGGGGTGGTACCGGCCCGCCGGCCCCCAGGAGCGGGGAGAGGCCGGGGGCCGAGCCGGGGGCTCGCCTTAGCTTTGGGGCACGTTGGGGTTCACCGTGGCGGAGAGGCCCCGGTGGGGGGAGGCGCCTCGGTGACACCAGAGTCATTCAAAGGCCCGCGACCGGAGCACTTGGCGCTTTTCACGCGTTTTTACGGAATCCTTTGTTTTTTCTTGGAAAGTTGGTTGTAACGCTCCTCTGCTGGGAGGAAGGAGCTGTTCGCCTTTCGTCTCCCTGGGCTCTCCAGCGGGGGCACTGCGAGCTGGCGGGTGGCGTCGCTCCTGCCTGTCCTGAGGCTTGTTCAGCGGGATTGAGAAAAGCTTCATCTTCTAAAGTTTGGGTTTTTTTTTTAAATCAAAACCCCAGAGCCTTAAAAAGAAGTCCGAGCAGATAATAAAGAAACAGAAGATGAAACGGTCTAAACTAAGGAAGTTATTTAAGATGGCATTTTACTTTTGTTCTTTGCACTTGGTACGCAGCCCTATTGTCCAGGATTAACCCCTCACGTACAATCTCGGGGTCTCCCCATGACGTACGTGCTCACTCGCTGTAGCAGAGCGGTTCTTTCTTGCACCACCCGGCCCGCCGGCCCCCAGGAGCCGGGAGAGGCCGCGGGCCGAGCCGGGGGCTCGCCTTAGCTTTGGGGCACGTTGGGGTTCACCGTGGCGGAGAGGCCCCGGTGGGGGGAGGCGCCTCGGTGACACCAGAGTCATTCAAAGGCCCGCGACCGGAGCACTGGGCGCTTTTCACGCGTTTTTACGGAATCCTTTGGTTTTTCTTGGAAAGTTGGTTGTAACGCTCCTCTGCTGGGAGGAAGGAGCTGTTCGCCTTTCGTCTCCCTGGGCTCTCCAGCGGGGGCACTGCGAGCTGGCGGGTGGCGTCGCTCCTGCCTGTCCTGAGGCTTGTTCAGCAGGATTAAGAAAAGTTTCATCTTCTAAAGTTTGGGGTTTTTTTTAAAATCAAAACCCCAGAGCCTTAAAAAGGAGGTCCGAGCAGATAATAAAGAAACAGAAGATGAAACGGTCTAAACTAAGGAAGTTATTTAAGATGGCATTTTACTTTTGTTCTTTGCACTTGGGACGTAGCCCTATTGTCCAGGATTAACCCCTCGTGTACAATCTCGGGGTCTCCCCATGACGTACGTGCTCACTCACTGCAGCAGAGCGGTGCTTTCCTGCACCACCAGGCTGTTCATTCTCTCTTTTTGAGCCAAACCACTAAAAGTTCTCTTTACCTCCCAGGCCACAAAGAGCAAACCTGCAGAGGAGGGCGATGCACCCCCGCCCAAGAGAGCCCCCATCTTCTATGGCAGTTTGGAAGAGAAGGAGAGGGAGCGTCTGGCAAAAGGCGAATCGGGGCTGCTGGGAAAGGAGGGGATGAAGGCTGCGATGGAGGCTGGCAACATCAACATCAGCAGTGGTGAGAATGTTTAACCACTTTTATTTTTTTTCCCATTTCGCTCTGGAATGTGACGCTTTCAAAAGTCTTTTGATCAACGCTTGAGCCTAATTTAAAGTGAAAAATGTCGCCTGGGCTGATGGCTCTTTGTTGGGATCCTCCTGTTGGATCTTGTGCCCGGTTGTTTTCAATCCGATGGTTTTGTTTTCTGTTCAGGTGAGGTCTTTGACCTGGAGGACCACATGAGCGAGCGGCAGGCGGAGGTGCTGGCGGAGTTTGAGCGCAGGAAGAGAGCCCGGCAGATCAACGTGTCCACTGATGACTCGGAAGTGAAAGCCTGTTTGCGAGCCCTCGGGGAGCCCATCACGCTCTTTGGAGAAGGTCCTGCAGAAAGGAGGGAGAGGTGCTGTGTCTGCCCTGACTGTTCAGGGAATCGGGGAATTGTCAGAGTTGGAAGGGATCTCTAGAGCCCATCCAGTCCCACTCCCCTGCCAAAGCAGGGCTGCCCAGAGCAAAGCACTCAGGAGCATCCAGGCGGGGCTTGAAGATCTCCAGAGAAGGGGACTCCACTCCCTCCCTGGGCAGCCTCTGCCAGGGCTCTGCCACCCTCACCCCAAACAAGTTCTTCCTCCCATTGCAGTGGAACTTCCCATGGTCCAGCTTGTGCCCGTTGCCCCTCGTCCTGTCACTGGGAACCACTGGAAAGAGTCCGGCTCCATCCTCCTTCAACCCCCCCTCTAGACACTTGGAAGCATGAAGAAGGTCTCCCCTCAGCCTTCTCTTCTCCAGGCTCAAGAGCCCCAGCTCTCTCAGCCTTTCCTCAGCAGGGAGATGCTCCAATCCCTCCATCATCTCTGGTGCCCTACGCTGGACTCTCTCCAGCAGTTCCCTGTCCCTCTTGAACTGGGGAGCCCAGCACTGGAGGCAGGATTCCAGTTGTGGCCTCCCCAGTGCAGAGCAGAGGGGGAGAATGACCTCCCTCCACCTCCTGGCCACACTCTGCCCTACGCAGCCCAGGATCCCACTTACCCTCTTGGCCACAAGGGCACATTGCTGGCCCATGGATAGTTTACTCTTGTTTGATAAACTCTCAGCTTACCCAATTCCTGACATTTTCCTTGCAGTCGAGGTGCAGCACGTGCTGGCAGTCAGTCACGCTTCGTTACGCTGCAGCAAGAACGCTGAGGCAGAAAGAATGGCAGATGGGGGTTATTTGTCAGGTTCTCTAAGAGTTCACTGAGTGAATATGCCTTAAATGTTTTTCTTTCTAGATTAAGAAATATCCTTTCGGTGGTTGGCACAGATGCATTAAAAAAGACCAGGAAAGATGACGACAGGTCAAAAAAATCCAAAGAAGAGGTAAAGGCCTCTCTTGGTCTCTCCGTGCTGCGGGAGATATGTGTGATGCTCTTTGAGATGCCTTATTTGGACATTCTCTTCTATGTCCAGGAGTTCTGGTTTTGATCATTCTGTGGATTCTTATGTCATCCTCTGGGCTCCTTCTGTGTTGCCCATTTTAGCAAAACTGGCAGTTTGTTACCTTAATCAGGAGCGTTAAGCCTGGCCTGTAGTGCAGGTCAAAGTGAGCGCTGTGTGCAGCAGATAGACAGGAGATGGGACATTTGGACTCTTCGTTAGTGTAGCAGGTCCTTCCTTGTTTGTCTTCCTACTTGGGGAAAAAATAATAAGTTCCTGCTACTGCATCTCTTTCTGCCTGTGACGCTGCCTTCTTTCTGCCTCTCCTTTCTCTTTTCTGAGTCCAAATTTTCCTTACTAGTTTGGGGGGTTGCTATAAGAAATAAGGAATATTTTTGCGGCTCTGGGCTTTCTTGTTAGTGGGTGATGGGTAGGAAGGGAGGGGGTATAATCATCAGCTCTATGTCCTTAAATGAAATGAGTTGGTGTTCAATGGGAGTGTTCTTGAATGAAATGGCAACGTGTCAGGATCTGGCCTGTAGGGCAGAGAGTTTGACTTTTCTCTCTTAATTCCTTTTTCTGGGGCTTATAGTTACACAAAATGCCCTTAAAAAGAGGCCTTAACACAGCAACATTTAAGAGCAGATGCTGTGGTGGCACTTAGGTACTAAGGAGAGGTCATCTAAGGTACCTGAATGAAAGAGCAGCATCACATTAGTTTTTTCTTTGTTTTTGTTTTTTTTTTCTTACAGTATCAGCAAACCTGGTACCACGAAGGACCACGCAGTCTGAAAACGGCGAGGCTGTGGCTTGCGAACTACTCCCTCCCCAGGTGAGATGAAACAGCGAGTGGAGGAGGGAGACACAGCCTTTTTAAAATCTGGCCGCTAATCCCACTCCTTTCCTGCACAACGCGGGGAATTTGAGATCAAAGGAACGGGGAACACAGAATCACAGAATCTTCTAGGTTGGAAGGGACCTTAAAGATCATCTTGTCCAACTGTCAACCCAACTGACAAAAATAGACACCCACACAACAAACAAGGAGCATCATCACTAAACCAGACCTCCCAGCACTACATCAACCCGGCTTTTGAACACCTCCAGGGATGGGGCCTCAACCACCTCCCTGGGCAGCCCATTCCAATGCCTGAGAACCCTTTCAGTGAAAAAATTTTTCCTAATATCCAGCCTGACCCTCCCCTGGGGCAACTTGAGGCCATTTCCTCTTGTCCTGTCACCTGTGACTTGGGAGAAGAGACCGACCCCCACCTCTCTACACCCTCCTTTCAGGGAGTTGGAGAGAGCAACACCCACTGGTAGGCGAGACTGGTGAGCTTAGGGCTTGAGTTCTCAGTGACCGACTGTAGCATTAGCCCAGTTTGGGGGAAGAAGAGGGGGAAAAACCGGTTTCCACGACAGGGCAGGAAAAATGCAGGGCCTTGTTACTCCATCTTTCCTCTCCACAGGGCAGCGAAGCGGTTAGAAGAAGCCCGGCTGCTCAAAGAGATTCCAGAGGCGACCAGGACATCGCAGAGACAGGAGCTACACAAATCCCTGCGAGTAGGTGTTGGCAGCACCTCAGCTGCTGTGTTTAAAACTTTGCTGATTTCCCAAGAGAGAGCTGCCCAGAAGTGTCATTTTCTGCACGGGTCACCTGTTGGAAAGCTCTGCTTTTCCTCTCTTTCCCTAGGATACGCATAAAGCATGTTCTAGCTCTTTTCCCAGTGATTGAGAGATGTACCTTAGTTGTTATAGAATCATAGAATCACAGAATTGCCCAGGCTGGAAGGGACCTCCAAAGGCCATCTAGTCCGACCCCCCCGCAGTCAGCAGGGACACCCCCAACTAGACCAGGTTGCCCAGGGCCTCGTCGAGCCTCCCCTTGAATATCTCCAGGGATGGGGCCTCAACCACCTCCCTGGGCAGCCCATCCCAATGGCTGAGAACCCTTTCAGGGAAAAAATTTTTCCTAATATCCAGCCTGAACCTCCCCTGGGGCAACTTGAGGCCATTTCCTCTTGTCCTGTCACCTGTGACTTGGGAGAAGAGACCGACC